AATACCGATTGGCTTTCTTGTTGAGGCAGCTGACTCTCGCTTTAGCTGGGTCAATCAGTCCCAACATTTGCTGTGGTGGAGGGAGGATGGGGGTGAATGTGGGTCAGGGGGGAAGACATTCTTGTAGACAGATGTGTGGTGAGGGAGGGTGGCCCAGGGGCAGCCAGGTAATGACGGGGTGCCCACCAACACCCATACCAAGCGTGTGGGTACAAGTGGGTACGCCTCGCCCTCCCTCCCTCCCTCCCTCCCTCTTAGCCTTCTTCCTTACCTACTCTCTCTCTCTCTCTCTCTCTCTCTCTCTCACATGTATCAGGTATTGAGTCAATGTATTCTTACCCGTTCTCTGAAGTGTGTGGTGGTGAAGTGCGTTTTGAGAGTGCTGAATATCATGTCCGTTTGAGTGTGTCTGTCTTGTCTACGAGTCGTTGTGTCTGTGAGGGGAAAAACCGCACGTGAACTCGAAGTTACGCAACACCCTACCTTAGATCGCACCACTTATTAGGAGGTCAGACACCAAGCACGACGCACGCAACAGGAGAACAACTTTACATTCATCAGGAGGAACGTACAAAATGACTCGGCAGATATTGTTGAGTTCGGGAAAAATGGAACTCAGTTGATTATTTAAAGGTGACGCGGCGGTAGTGTTGTTGATACAGGTAGTAGTGCCGGGGAGGGGGGGGGTCTTGTGCCTGGGTGAGAAGAGGAGGTGGTGGAAATGGTGTGGTGGGTGATGGTGGAAGACTGAACTGGTGTAGTGGTTGTCGTGACGGTGGTGATAAGAGGTGAAGATGGTTGTCGTGGTAGTAGTTGTAGTAGTAATGTTGATAGTTGTGATATGGAAGCAGCAGTAAGAACAGCTGGAACAGGTGGTAGGGGTGGTGGAGATGTACAGCAGCAGCACCGTTACTGCTGGTCTGGGGGCACACCTGTACGGGTCAACCCCCTCCCTTCCCCCTACCCCAACACCCCTGCTTACCTTGGCCCGAGCCTGGGTCATCCCTTCCCCTCCATCGCCACCGCAGTGATACGCCTCCACCACCAGCACACACACACACACACACACACACACACACACATACTCCACAACACTGTCCCTCACACCTCGGGCACTCTCAGGACGCACTTTAACACACACCCCTCACGACACACTCACTTAACGGCCAAACATCAACATTCCCACGACGCTCCACCACACTACCAGCACCTCAACACCCCTCAACCAAAAGTCCCTCAACACAGTAACACTCCGGAAACGAACTTCATCATTCATGAACATACTCAGAATACCACCACCTCACCACAAGTCCCTCACGGCACACACTCAGCAACATAAGGGCCTCACGACAGATACATATACGTCACTGCTCGTTACAAGTCTCTCACGAGAGTACCACCTGAACCCGGTCTGGGTTACCGCCCTGCCCTCCTCCCTCACCTGTGAATGTCAATAAGCAGGGCAGCGGGGAGCCACGTCGTCAGGTGGGTCCTGATGTATGGAAATTCTCTGGTCTCCTCATCTTCCTCTTCCTCCTCCTCCTCCTCCTCCTCCTCCTTCTCCTTCTCCTTCACCTGCCGCCTCTTATCACAGTCCCCTGCTTCCTTTCTCCTCCCACCCTTCATCTTTTTGCAGTTCTTCTGCTACTGTTCCCTTCTTCCACACCATCACACTCAATGCTTTGGTCTCTCCCACCGCCAGCGTCTCCCCGGAGGTCGAAAGTCTACCATATGTCTGTCTTGTAATGAAGTCCAATGCCAGGAACCGGAGGAGTGCCGGTCCTGGAGAAATAACCCCCTCCCCTCCCCTTCCCTCCCCTCCCCAGTGCTTGATCGCTTGGCATAATGGGGATGGGAGTCATGGTAGTGTGTTGATCCCTGGGGCGCCTCATCTGTCTTGAACCATCGTCACTTCCCCTGGAGCCTGTACACTGTTGGACCACTTTCTTCTCCATTTTCTTCTTCTTTCTTCTCCTTCCTTCTTTATTCTCCTCCTCCATTCTTTTCTTCTCTTCCTCCTCCACCACCACAACCTTCTCTTCCTCCTTTACCCCCTCCCTCTTTTCTTCTTCTTCTCTTCCTCCTCCACCACCACCACCACCTCCTCCTCCTCCTCCTCCTCCTCCTCCAGGCCTTGAATTAGATAGTTCGTGAAAATCTAGTTTGTCGAGGCGTCACTACTGAGGATAATCTTCTTCCTGGGGTGACGTTCAGCTTACTCACTTCAGCTTTCTTACTTCAGTTTTCTCACCTCAGCTTACTTACTTCAACTTACTCACCTCAGCTTACTCACCTCAGCTTACTTAATTCAGCTTACTTACTTCAGCTTACTTAATTCAGCTTACTTACTTCAACCTACTCACTTCAGCTTTCTCAGTCCATCCCGTTGAGTGTTTTTTTTTTTACATGTAGCTTGTGAGAGTTGACCTGACCGCCTTGTTCAACGACTAGATTTTTGCAATTACCTTTTGTTATTGTAATATTATAGTTATAAAAGTTACACAGCAACTAGATTATATTTTAAAGATAATAATTGATGATTTTGTGTGCAACGTTCAGTTATTAAGGCACCTGAACCGTATCATTAAGGTATGGTAATTACCTTTTGTGTAACGGTAAGATATCGTAATTATCTTTTTTATGAATACCTAACATATGCTAATTACTTTTTGCAACATTAAGGTGTGATAATGACATTTTTGTTCAGGTACTATAAGGGTGAAATTCAATACATATCGTAGATGATGGTTTTGTCAGGGTGGGTCGTTTTATTAACATACCCGTGAATATATTCCTGAAGGAACTATGTGGATATATTAACATACTCCTAAAGGAACTATGTGGATATATTAACATACTCCTGAAGGAACTATGTGGATAAATTTACATATTCCTGAAGGAACTATTTGGATATATTAACATACTCCTGAAGGGACGACGTAGACATATTAACATACTCCTGAAGGAACTATGTGGATATATTAACATACTCCTGAAGGAACGACGTGTACATATTAACATACTCCTGAAGGAACTATTTGGATATATTAACATACTCCTGAAGGGACGACGTAGACATATTAACATACTCCTGAAGGGACGACGTAGACATATTAACATACTCCTGAAGGGACGACGTAGACATATTAACATACTCCTGAAGGAACTACGTATACATATTAACATACAGTACCTCTAGGAGCTACAACCGTCAGAACAATAGCAGCAACCTGGTGACCTTGTGGAGATCACACCCAGACATTCTGTACCCCACAATCAGCTGGTGTTGATGTACTGAGGGCCAGATTGACATGTAGTGTGTTGGTGGGATGTGATATGTTAAAAACTTGACTTGTAGTGTAAAAAGTTTCATGGACGCTCGTAATGACCTGTTTAAGTTGGGGGGAAAAAAGATGGCCGTCCCCGAAAAACAAGTTACCGCGTCTGATAATATTTTTTGATTGACATCTAGTCGTGAATTATATACTGTCTAGAAAAGTATATTAAAAACTAACAACTACACGTGTAATATAATTTTTGTTGCGATAAAAAGGATTAACATCTTATATCTTTTAATTTAAGTTCAAGTTTACTGTTAAACTCGAATGCTCAGCGACGGTGGCTTTATTTATATATATATGTTGTCATCGTATTTTCACATCGTGGACACAATGTACCCTCATATTTAACACCAGCATGTATATGGATGTTATGGGGCTTATTACGACGTATAGTTGGAAAATACATGTAGGGGCGTAAGTCTGTTGGGAGTATTCTTAAAGAGACGATGATGTCCTACCCATAGTGCACAGCTTCTCTTTCCAACCGCCATCTTGTCGCGTTCAATTATGATCAAAATACATTCATTATATTTCTGTCGTCATCTACAGAATAACAATAAAATCATTCGATAACTTCCGGAAAAACAATAAGTAATTAATATCAGTCACCACAACAAGAACTAGCATCGTCATCTTTGAAATTCTTGCCCAAACTCAATTAATAGTTCATGAAGGACTTCCTGTTGCTTTTAAAATCCAATTCCTTCGATAACGGTACGGTCAAGATCGCGCTACAACCTGTTATTTCAACTTTTCGATGCCTTTGTTTGATTTCCACTTCCGGTAGAGCTCATATGTAGGAGGCAAAGGAGAGAGAGAGAGAAAAAAAACGGTAGTGGTAGTAGTCAGGTGTCCATTGGTTGAACCCGTTATCCTTGAGGCCCAAGCACTAGCCAGCCAACCACCCTCCCTCCCCCTCCTGTCATCCCGGGTAGACTAGCCCAGGATCAGTTGTGACCAAGATCCACTGCTCAAGGCTAAGATGTCCGCTAATTCTTTTCTTTTTCTTCATTTTCTTCTTTTTCTCTTGGTTCGTCTTCTCATTGTTGTTCGTCTACACAAGCTTTCTTCCTCATTCCACTTCTTTTTGTTTCGTCTTCGTTTTTTTCTTATTCTTCTTCCTTGTCTTTGTCTTCTTATTCCCATTCCTCCTCTTTATCGTCGTATTCTTGTACCTTTAGTCTTATTCTTATTTTTCCTTATGTCTTATGCATCATCATTCCTTTTAAAATCCTCATTTCGGAAAAAATACGTTAAATAATCGCCAATAAGATGCCAAGGTTAATATAATCGATTATAAAACGCCCTTGTTTCTGCAATCAACTGTAAGAGGCCATTATTGATTATTCCTTTATCAATATTAATCAATTATCAAGGCCTCCGTGCTTTCGTGTACAGTTTGTGTGTTATTGTCATAGATGTGAAGACTTCCTTATTTTGCATCCGTTAACAGTTGGCTTATTATGGTCAGAGATGCGGAAACTTGTAGTACATTTTCCCAACGTAATTTACTGTTATTGAGATGTTTTGTTGTTATTATTATTATTATTATTATTATTATTATTATTATTATTATTATTATTATTATTATTATTGTTGTTACACTTACGAAATTTGACTTATGTGGATCACTAACCAGTTTATATCTTGTTGTTACAGATGTGGAGACTTGCCCCAACTTCGAGACGCCCTTCCACACCATCTCTACCTGTCGGGGTGTGTCTGAGGTTGTCCACGATGGCTCCTGCGAGAACAAGATCACTTGGAGCAAGGGTAAGTACCTCTTGAGTCAGTACTGGGGTAAGAGTGAGTCAGTATTGGGTGTGAGGGTGAGTCAGTACTGAGGTGTGAGGGTGAGTCATTACTGAGGTGTGAGGGTGAGTCAGTACTGGGGTGTGAGGGTGAATCAGTACTGTGGTGTAAGGGTGAGTCAGTACTGAGGTGTAAGGGTGAGTCAGTACTGAGGTGTGAGGGTGAGTCAGTACTGGGGTAAGAGTGAGTCAGTATTGGGTGTGAGGGTGAGTCAGTACTGAGGTGTGAGGGTGAGTCATTACTGAGGTGTGAGGGTGAGTCAGTACTGAGGTGTGAGGGTGAGTCAGTACTGAGGTGCGAGGGTGAGTCAGTACTATTGTAGAGAGTGGGGGGGTGGAGTTATATCACCTGGAGCAAGGGTGAATTTCTCTTAGGGTGCAGAGAAGTGTAGTAGGAGAATGCAAGGAACAAGACGGGATTAAAAATTGAAACATAGTAATAAACAAGACTGGGAAGGAATAAAATTAATACCGATTAGTCTCTGGCATAACAACAACAAAGGCAGCGTCATTGCAGTAATTACAACCAACACACAATGGCCTTTCGTTATCTAAATGCCCTCTAGTAATAACAATCTACTATTATAATTAGCTATATATTCAAGCAGGATCATTAACAGGAATTTATAATAATTAAAGAAGGCTGCAATGGACGTGGTTCATTAGCATAACACAAGTGACTATTATCGCCGACCTTGTAAACAAGTTGGGGTACCTCAAGGTCGGGGTCTGCTCCCACCTCGGTATTGTTGACTGTTTATGTCCGTTAGATATCATCAACATCCGGCAATTTGCTAGGAGGTGGCCCGTACATCTGGGCTATAATTAAAGGGAAGCGTATGTAGAAAAAGAGCAAGACCTTGATTGTTACACAGTGACTTTTTGAACCCTATTTCCTGTTGGTGTTTATGGAGTCAGTTTAAAGGTCGAATGGCGATGGTGGAATGTAGATTAGTGTACCGTCTGACGTGTAAATAGCAGTACATCTGCCTCCTCTGTGTGTGTGTTGGGTGACCTTAAGGGGTGAGGAGAGGGGGGAGGGGTAGTGAGAAGAGGGGCAAAATCTCCTCAGGGCAGGTTGGGGTGTGTCAAGGGGCCTGGCTTCCGGTGAGGTTGGGTGGGGCGGGGCGGGGTGTGGTGCGGCAGGTGGGAAAGAATGCTTCAGGAGAGGGCATGTGAAGGTTGGGGGTTGAGGAGGGGGAAGGAGGGAAAGAGAGAGTGGCTTGGTGAGAGGTGGGGGTCATGGAGTGAGTGTGTGGGAGGAAGGTGTTGAGTACAGAGATAGAGGGAGAGTGGATTGTGGAGAGGTGAGCGGAGTGGAGGAGAGTGCATGGGGTAAGGAAAGAAGAGAGTGAGTGGGAAGGTCTTGAGAGTATAGGTCAGGGAGTATATAGGCAGATGGAGATAAAGAGTAGACCCAGAGTATATGTTGAGCTGAGGAGACAGAGATTGATAAGTGTGTCCTAGAGCACAAAAAAAGTTCATCCATCCTCCTCCTCCTCCTCCTCCTCTCACGCCCTGGAGGAAATTGTTACACTCACACCTCCTGCCACCTGCTCTCTTAGCCAACTTTGGTCATGTTATTATTATGACAATTATGACCTGAATGAAAATTATATACTGCTTGCCCTTCACCTTCAAGACTTCTTACCACCTTTAACATGTCCCTCCAACCTCCTCCCCCCTGTTCCACCACCCCTGACATGTTCCCAACCCCCCCTGTTCCTCTACCCCTGATATGTTCCCCGCACCCTGTTCCTCCACCCCTGACATGTTCCTCCCTGTTCCCCACCCCTGACATATTACCCCTGTTTCCCCCACCCTTGGCCTGTTCCCTGTTTCCCCCCACCCCTGACATATTACCCTGTCCTCCCACCTGACATGTTCCCTCTGTTCCTCCACCCCTGACATGTACCCCTGTTCCTCCACCCCTGACATGTTCCTCCCTGCCCACACACCACCCTGACATATTGCCCTGTTCCTCACCCACCAGCATGTTCCTCCCTGTTCCCCCACCCCTGACATAATACCCCTGTTCCTCCACCCCTGACATGTTTCCTCCCTGTTTCCCCCCCACCCTTGACATGTTTCCTCCATTAAACACACACAACATCATTTCCTCCCCATTCCCCCCACACAAGCATGTTTCCTCCCTGTTCCCCCCCACCCCTGGCCTTGCCCCCTGTTCCTACACACAATATTTCCCCACACCATTCCTCCACCCCTGACATGTTCTCTCATTTCCCCCCTGACATGTTTCCACTCCCTGTTGCCCCCACCCCTGACCCCTTGAACCTCCTGTTTCCCACCCCCACCCCTGACATGCCCCCCTGTTCCCCCACCCCTGACATATTCCCCTCATTTCCTCCCTGACATATTTCCCCCTGTTCCTCCACCCCTGACATGTTCCTCCCTGTTCCTCCACCCCTGACATATTTCTCCTGTTTCCCCCACCCCTGACGCCCCCCTGTTCCCCCACCCCAAACGCATGTTTCCCACCTGTCTCCACCTGACATGCACCCCCTGTTCCCCCACCTGACATATTCCCTGTTCCTCCCTGACATATTCCCCCCTGTTCCTCACTGACATATTTCCCCTGTTTCCTCCACCCTAGCCTTGCCCCCCCTGTTCCTCCTACCCCCCTATCACCACCCCCCCCCCTCCCCTCTTGGTCATTTCCACCCCTGATGTTATTAATCCTTTCCCCCCTCTACCCCCCTCCCCCAGGATCCATGTGTGACGCCGTGTGTGAGATAGGATATGGTTTCTTCGACGAGCCGGCCCCCAAGTACTCCTGTGACGCCGGAGGTGTGTGGGCCCCAGCCGGCAAGGCTCCCGAGTGTTACGGTAAGTGCTGCTTCGGTCTTAGTCTTCTTTGTCTTGGTCGATTTTCATGTTTCCTGGTCGATTTTTCTTTTTCTTGGTCGATTTTTCTTTTACTTGGTCGATTTTAATTCTACTTGGTCGATTTTCATGTTTCCTGGTCGATTTTTCCTTCTTGGTAGATTTTCCTTTTTCTTGTAGTTTTCTTGTTCTGTTGTTTCCATGTTCTTGTTTTGTTTGTTGTTTTCATTATTTATGCGACTTTTCTTCTTTCTTGTCTTCCTTTTCTTGTTCTTGTAATCTGTTTGTTTGGTTATTCTCATTATCTCTATTCTTATAATTATCTATCCATCGTTCCTTTCTCTTTTTCATTTGTTTTTATTATTTTTGACTTCATTCCCGTTTCTGGTCTCCTTCACACGCGTTGACATACACACATACACTTCTCAAATACATTAATTAAAACATCTCTTTAATACAGCAACACGACAGTACTACCTAATACAGGAACACGACAGTACATCTTTTTACTTAATACAGCGACACGACAGTACATCTTTTTACCTAATACAGCAAATACGACATTACATCTTTTACCTATACAGCAACACGACAGTACATCTTTACCTAATACAGCAACACGAGCATCTTTTTATCTAATACAGCGACGACAGTACATCTTTTACCTAATACAGCAACACGACAGCATCTTTTACCTAATACAGCAACACGTATTGCATCTTTTACCTAATACGAGTACATCTTTTACCTAATACAGCAACACGATAGGACATCTTTTTATCTAATACAGCGACACGACAGTACATCTTTTTACCTAATACATAGCAACACGACAGTACATCTTTTTACCTAATACAGCAACACGACATTACATCTTTTTACCTAATACAGCAACACGACAGTACATCTTTTACCTAATACAGCAACACGATAGGACATCTTTTTATCTAATACAGCGACACGACAGTACATCTTTTTACCTAATACAGCAACACGACAGTACATCTTTTTTATTAATACAGCGACACGACAGTACTTACGGTTGTCTTAGTCTAGGCAGTACTCATGGTTGTCTTAGTCTAGGCAGTACCTACGGTTATCTTAGTCTAAATGAGGCAGTTAGATACGTTCATACATCTCCCAAATTAGTGGAGAGAGTTCTAGGTATATGTCTCTCAGTATCTCGGTCATCAGCATGAGAGATATTTACGACATTTATGTAGGATTAGTAGAAAGTCTCCCTGTAGCTGCCAAAGACGAGATAAAAATACCGGTTTGATTTTTACTCGCGATATTCCGGTCTTAAATTAATCCTGATTTTCTTTTCTTTTTCCAAATTCGGTTTTATAGAAAGAGAAGAAGGACTGAGTGACTTTTGTGTTGATGTGTAATAATTTTAGACTACGACGTGTGCTATTACTATTACTACCATCTGTCTGTTACTTATCTTTCTACTACCACCACAGCCACTACAATCATCAACCATCACTATTTACACGTAACCACTATCATTACCCCCCTCCCTCCCCCCATGCAACTACTACCACCAAAGCTTACCACTACCACCAACCACCACCATCTACATGTAATAGCAACCACTACTACCACCAACCATCACCCCCATGCAATCACACTCCCACCAAAACTTACCACTACCACCCCCCACACAATCACTACCACCAATACCAATCACACACTATCACCCATTTATCACTTCTCTCTACCACAACCACACTTCCTCTTTCTCTCAAGGTCTTTTATCTTAGTATCTTATCATTTTCTTATCGTGTTCCTCTACTGTCTCTTACTGTAATCGTCCCAAGGCTTCTTTTATAAGTGTATTGTGACTGAGGCAGTTTCCGGGGTTGATAGCGTAACAAGAGTCAACAATAGTGGTGATGTTTCCTGGGTGTTTTGTTGATAGTGTTAGGTTAGGTTAATGTCCAGGTAGCTAATGAGGTGATTAATGCAGTGTATGGCAGCTTCTGTACACGAATACCCACGCATGAAATATACAGACTTGGGTGCATACATACTGTACATACATACATACATACATACATACATACATACATACACACATACATACATACACACACGTATCCACACATAACTAACCTACCTATCTGTCCACACACACACACACACACACAGTGACCAACTGGGCACGGTGCCAGGATTCTTTAGTGGGACTACTTTACCCCCCTGCACTCCTAACATGGCTGTCTCACACGCCGTTTTCTCTACTCTTGACGTCATGTTCTCTACTAACAGGTATCTGACGTCTTGTTCTCTGCACTGACGTCGTGTGCCATAGGTTGACGTTATTTTCCATAGGTTGACGTCATGTTCCATAGGTTGTCGTATTCCATAAGTTTACGTCGTGTTCCATAGGTTAACGTCATGTTCCATAGGTTGACGTCGTGTTCCATAGGTTGACGTCCTTTTCCATAGATTAACGTTGAGTTCCATAGGTTGACGTCCTTTTCCATAGATTAACTTTGTGTTCCATTGATTAACGTCGTGTGCCATAGGTTGACGTCCTGTTCCATAGATTAACGTCGTGTTCCGTAGCTTAACGTCGTGTTCCATAGGTTGACGTCGTGTTCCATAGATTAACGTGAAGGAGCATGAAGGAGATAGAGAGAGGTCTTGGCAGCCCTGAGTGGTGGGTCAAGCGAGCGTCGGGAAAGTGAATAAAAACAAAACCAGTTGTGAGTTGTCTGCCTGACCCACTCGGCCCTTTCTAGGCTCTCGGTTGACTCGTCTCTCCTCATCCCAGTGGTGTCAGGTCCTCATTTGACCCCTACCAATAGTATCAGGTTCTCATTTGACTCCTGCTAGTAGTGTCAGGTACTCATTTGGTTCATAATGGTAGTGTCAGGTCCTCATTTTACTGCTACCAATAGTATCAGGTTCTTATATGACTCATGTTAGTAGTGTCAAGTCCACATTTCACTCCTAATAGTATCATTTTCTCATTTGACTCCTGCTAGTTGTGTCAGGTTCTCATTTGATTCCTGCTAGTAGTGTCAGGTTCTCATTTGACTCCTGCTAGTAGTGTCAGGTTCTCATTTGACTCCTGCAAGTAGTGCCAGCCCCCCCCTTCCCCGTGTCTGTGTGGATATTTCTCTACTTGTATTCCCGTAAACCTCACCTGTCACTCTGTACACCTGTGATCTGATACCCGTAGTGTTTTATATGTAAGGTGAGGGTAGGAACAGGTGTTGTGTGGATATTTCTACTGGTAGTGTTACACCTTATCTGTCACTTTCGTGGTTGGTCTTGCATAACTCTCCCTATTAGTTCCCTATTTTTGTTGAGGTCTGTGTGCCACTTAATCTACCCCCACACAAATTGGGAAAGGCATAGAGGTAATAGGTAAGGACATATGGAGATAGAGATTTGATAGATGGGTAGATATTAAGGGATCTAGTGTGTAGGTAGGTAGACATTATAGAGATCTGGCAGGTAAGTAGGTATAGAAACATCCGGTAGATAGACATAGAGAGGTCTGGCAGCTAGATAGACAGGTAGGTAGGCAGGTAGACATAGAGATCTGGAAGGCAGGTAGAGGTAGAGAGATATAACTTCTTTGGTTTTTCCTTTCATTTTCTCAGTTTCTAGTTATCACTCGTCTTGGTGACATTAGTGAAGGTCCTCACCCGGGAGTTTTTTTGTTTTTTTTAACTTATAATACCGGTGTGTCTAGTTTCACCTTCCTCAATCATCGACTCTCATTTGATATTTGTGATTCACTTTGATGTTTGATTCCTGCTTCTCTAATACTCGGACCTGTTCTGTTACATTTCACTCTTTTTTTATTATTATTCCTCCGTTTCCTCTTATGTCAGATTATCATTATTAATACTGATTGGTAACCTTAATACCTAAATGCTCCGTAATCTTACCTGTTTCTGCTCTTTTCTTGTTATGGTCTTGGTCGGTTTTCTAGATTCTCATTTGGATTTTAACACTCATTTGAACCTTGAGTTGTTGATGCTTTTCTTAGACCCCCTTAGCTATCTTCTTCGTCATGGCCCATGAGGCAATAAGCCCAGGAATGTGTTGATAATCCCCCTCACTGTCGCCTTCACCCCTACGTCCTCCCCACCACCATCCTTCATCCCAACCTGTCAAGATATTGTCTTATATTACCCTTCACATCTGTCACCTCCGCCCTCCATCATGTAATACGATCCCTCATTCCATTTATCACATCTGGGTGCGGGAGGGGGTTGTGGTTTATCACTGTCTTGTCAACCGTGGCGATGATGATGTATCTTGAGTATGTCAAGTGATTGTAAGGTGTTGTTGTCTCTCCACTTAAGGTCCGTTTTCTCTTCCTGTCAGGCCAAGGTTCTGAATTCTTGAAGCCTCCCCTTAACTGGAGGTGTGAGAATACATGTAGTTTTTGTCGTACTTTAAGTGAGCCAGTTAGGTATGTTCTCATATCCATTTAAGGGAACAATACATCATAACTGAGAACCTTTGAGAATTTGTTCTTTTGTCGTAGCTTAGGTGACTTGGAGGAACCTTTGAGAATTTGGGTCCAGATTCTCTCGATGGGTGTGAAAGGGGGCGGTGGTTGAGGTATGTCAGTTAGGCAGGTGACTTATTGGGTGTTCTCGGGTAGAATATATCATAGGTGGAGCTGTGTACATACCATGCCTGCACGCCCATCACTACACACCTAACTTTACTCCCCTGTAATCATGTGAACTCTCTTACGCCCTCTGTCATACCCACACTCATCCTCACCCACATATACATACCCACACGCATCTACCCACATACACATAAGGATAGGTTTAGGTATGTCCGAATGTTGGACTGTCTGTTTTTACAAATAAAGTTAAACACATTCTCTTCACCTTTGCTTTTAACATCATAATTATTCGTATATATGAGTAATGTGTTGGCTTGTGTCGCTCTGCCACATCAAACTCTTTACTTATGCTAATCTCTGTAAATATAACGACCACCTTCCTTTTCCTGTTACATAACTTCACCTTAAGGTCAGCTCCCTCTCCCATTGTGTCTAGCTGTGTACTTTCCCCCTTCCTTTCCTTTCATTTCCTTTCACCGTAAGGTCGATAAAAGTGAAGTCAGTGTCCAGGCCTCTTCCCTTGACCTACCCTGACCTCCCGCGTCACAGCTCCCCTCCTCTCTGACTCACCAGGTGGTCTGATACCCCTGGAGTCAGTTCAAGAGAGTCATTGGATCTTATTTTAATTCTGCTTATAATAGTGACTTCCGAGCTTAAGATGTGTCTATGTCGAAACAAAAGAACAACGAGAAACGCCCTCTTGCTACGGGGAAGAGAGGGATACGGTTCTCAATGTGTTTGCCTACACTTATTGTCTACATCATTATATGATTTAAGTCAGTAGACAAAAAAAAATGGGGCGGCTGGCTGATCATGTCAGTGTTTTAAATTATTATATGATTGTTACAGCGTTTTAAAGTATCATATGCTAAACCGTCTTAAGGTAGAAACACCGTAATGGTAATAATACCTGAGAATTACTGGTCCTTAAAGACGAGATATGAAAGGTTGTTGCGTCCGTCCCGTTACACCAACTTTCACTCAACGCTTCTTCCTCTTCCTCTTCCTCCTTCTCCTCCTCCTCCTCCCCCTTCTCATTCTCCTCTCCCAACTGTTGTTTTCATGCTTGCTAACTTCCACCCAGCTGTGTAGTGTCTTAGTATATCACCAGCAAGTAGTGGTGAGCTTACATTAAACGGCCCTGACAATCTCACTTAAAGTCGAAACAAAATACTACAAACAGTGCGAGTAAATGCACGCGTTTTGTGCTTCTTAGAGAATACCTGTAGAATTAAATGCTGTAGAAATAAACAATACTACGTTTTGGCCTTTTAAATCCGGTATGAATAATAGATGTCTTGGCCTTCCCTTATCACATTTCCTGTCGAGGTCACAGAGCTGTCAGCGGCATCATTTACAACTTCTTACGCCACTTTATCGAGTTACTTCTCCCGCTGTTTGACCCTTTTATCAGCGTTTGTGTCACATTATCTGGCCCTCTTGCCTGCACGAGGTCACCAGTGATCATTGCTAAACGTTCTGATAAGATTTTAATGGTCTTTGAATAGTTGTGATGATGAAATGTATTCTTCTTAAGCTCGGGTTTTGTACCTCAATTGACTTCGCCTTTGTTAGTGTTGTTATCGTGACACCAAAAATTTCAATTGTTTATCCGTTAATTTTTTTAACTAGTACAATTACTTATTTCTTTTATTTTGGCTTTGTTTCTACCTTTCACCTGCCTCGTAACAATTTAATTACTGTTTCTAGCCGGGAATTCTCAATCTCAGTTTATTTCTTTCGTTTGATCGTGTAGATGCGCTGAGACGCTTCCTAGTTTGGCCTCTTGTCCCATACCATCACTTTTCGTCATCCTGTGGCGTCTCTAGAATTTTCCTCCACTTTCTAGGGGTTTTTTGTTGTTAATTTGTTCAACCTGTTACTCGTGATTGCCCGTTTGTTTTTTCTTCACTGTACCGAGTAAGTGGATTGTGACCTAAATTTTTTCTCTTGTTTGTGTGGCCTACTTATATCTTCTATTTTTTTTCTTCCCTTTTTTAATTTTATCTTTCAATTATCTTTCTATTTATAATTTATATTTAATCTCATTGTTCTTTTTTTTTTTTAGTATTGTTTACGTCTCCTGACCAAACATGTTCTGGTTTCTATTTTACTTATAAACTTTTAACGGAACTTCCACTCTTTACAAATATCGTTTTATGACACTTTATCAGTCCATATGGCTATTACTCTACCTCTATTTTATACTTAAATGTATACTTAGATTAAAATTACAGTGGTAAATATACTGCCAATATATCTATCATAATCTACTTTTACTGCCACTAAGTTTACCATAATCTACCTAATAACTCTACCACAATATCTACTTTTACTACTATTAAGACATCAAGGTATTAATAACACTCCCGTCCCACAGAGATCGTACCCGTGTTCTCAGCCAACCTGCAGTTCAAGATCACCTACAAGCGCGCCAGCATCGAGACTCTCCAGCACCAGTTCGATGGCCTCGTCTACAAGTACAACGATATCTTCTGTCCTTACCCCGAGGAGTGCGGCATTGGCGACCTGCAGATCAAGAGCGCTGTGAGTACCCGACACTATAGTCTCTCTCTCTCTCTCTCTCTCTCTCTCTCTCTCTCTCTCTCTCTCTCTCTCTCTCTTGCTGCTGATGCTGATGTTACTGTTACGTTCAGCATGTGTTAGTGTTGAGGTCATATGTATGGTGTATTGTGGAGGATATTGTGCATTAGGGGTCAGAGACTTTTTCACACACACACATTCCTCGAAGATAAATTATTTCAACAGAGTAATTCCTTGGTGTGACTGTTGACTCTTGTGATGTATTAGGTGTGCTTTAGGCGCCACAGGACCATAAACTCAACATATTGTATACATCCGAGTTGAGAGTTGATGAAGAGTCAACATAAATGATCCGAGTTGAGAGTTGATGAAGAGTCAACATAAATGACTTAGCGTTTCCTTGGGACACTGGGGGACGGGCGGGAATCATAGAGTGGGAGGTTCTCATTCTTGCAGTAGTATGAGGATTGTTCTTTCCCTTTACTGTCCTGTTTCATACGTCTTCATAATTATAGAATAGATTTATTTGTGCTTTACCTAGTGTTTACTAGTGTTATTATTTATTTTAATGCAATTAGTATGCTTCTGTTATTATTTGACTATCATTGTTTTTATATTTTCCCAATAGTAAATGAATGGCACGAATAAAGGTTTGTGTGTGTGGCCACCTTGCATTATAGATGTACAAGTCCTTTAAGTAAGAATAAACAAAAAGTATACCTGTAGTAGTAGTGTTTATTAGTAGTGGTAGTTGTAGTAGTGTTGTTCTAACGAGATATGCACTCTATCCGGCAGCTTGATGAAGAGGGCAACAAGATGAGCGAGGTCATCATCACCATCGACACCCCCGTCTATAATATCACCGACCAGTCTGGCTTCATCGACCTGGTACGGGAAGCTGTCCTCACTGTCACCGATGATAACGCCTTCATGACCCTCATCGATTACGACAACATCGCCCTCGTCCTGCCGATGAACACGGACAGCACCTTCAAGGCCAAACCCCAACTCTGCTGCCACTCCTGCCCAGATGATCATGCATACAGGCTCGGCAACTGCGGTGAGTTTTATCAACCTACTGTCAACCTCCTCCTCCCCATCTGGTAGACTTTTACATCACAGCAACTTACCTCAGCTTCTTCACTTGATTTGGTCCCTCTCGATGCTTCATTTCTCAGCTTCATACCTTTAAACTGCATTACCCTTCAGGCTTCCTATTCTCAGTATCACACAAGAAAATTTTCCCCCTACAAATGTGAGGACTCCCCTAAATATCTCACTTCGGCTACGACTCAACCTGATATATTATCAAATTGCTGTGATGTAGTACTTTAACTGGGTGCCCTCTCATATCTTGTTATGGGGGAAATAACCAGAGAATCAGAGTAGATCATACTCTCTATATATACAGTATTATGATGCTCATCTTGCACACAATATATATGTGTTTATGAAACAGTGACAATGTAAACTGACCATGAGCCTTTTCTGTTCACAGTCCAATGCCCGACTCCAGGGTGTGTGTAGGGAACCGCCACCCCCCTATAGCTCCACCCCCTACAGTACCTCAACCACTCGTGTGCTTCCCAGCGCTTTCGTGTAGCCAAACAATGTGACTTCCAGCACTTGAGTCTGCCTGGTGCTTAACTGCGCCTGTAATTGGTGGAAGCACTTCGACCAATCAGCTGTCTCATTCCTCGATATTGAGAAGCTGATCTACCCCAAGAAACAACTGGTGCATCTGTCTTCTCTTCCCGTGTAACAAGACCTGCCCGGCGGCACAGTGTTTCTCTACAATAATTATAAGAAAAACATCAAACTAAGCCCGGTGATCCTCTAAACTAAACCTTCACAACCGGTGATTTTAGCTCAATCCCTTTGGTAAATTTTCAAAGATATTAGATATTTATTTGATTGAAATTAATTGGAAGACTTGAATAAACCATGGAGGTAGATTATTTTTATATACATATATATATAGGGTTTAAGTTAAAGAATTAAGCCAAAATAAAACCGTCCATATTAGATAAAAAAAAACTTAGACACTTGCTATGTTGTCCTTCAGTAGTTGTACCATGGCAAGGATACACTCTTATCTTTTCCCCCATTGACACTGTTTGTATGTGTTTTAACTCCCATAAGTTTCCCTTTTCATGTTTTTTCTTCCATTTTATGTCCTTTTACTCACTGACCATACGGTATATGGTCCCGTTGTGTCTTGTCCTCTGTTGTGCCCAGGTGTACTTAAGTACTCGAGTGCCGCGTCACTCAATGTACCAAGTACTCACACAACCCCGCCCCAGTGCCACTGAGTCATGCAGAGGAGTTACTTTTAAGTAGTATAAAAAACTCAGATTTAAATGATAAGAAAATACACAACAAATTTCGACTTTGTGGATTTGTAACCCTGTTAATAATGATCGTCCTCGCTGTAGACGTTTCCAAATTCGCCAAATTTGTCTCATTATTTTTCAAGTTATATTTTTTATGCTCTGCTGCAGACGCTCATGTTTTTGTCACGCACATTGTGTCAATAACTGTACTGAGTATTCATCTCTCAGTATTCTATAAGGATAAGTTGTTATTTAAAGAAAAATAGAATTAGATTTAAAATTGAGTAGCTGTTTAGAGCATTCTATTTCAAAGTGAATACACAGTTTCAGGAAAGATGAGATTCAATGCCTATTTTTCTCTAAAAAAAGAATAGATATCGAATCCCACTTATTTACAATAAGAAGGGGGTTGCATATTTTCTCTAAAAAATGGTATTCGTTTCCCCTTGTGTAAACAAGGCGAAGGATTTAATACCTTCTTCACCAAAGGTAAAATATTGGATCCCCTTAATACGATGCGAGGTTGTCAGGGACATTAATACATTGCAAGGCATTGTAAGGCTCATCTTTAAATAGTAAAATGTACTTTATTGCAAGAATGTGATGGTTACTGACGCCTCAGCAAAAAACTTTGTACCCTCTACACACTGACATGTTAATTTTAGTTGTTACGTGTGAATGTTGACCATTGTATATACCTTGTATATTTTACATAAGATACCAATAAATGTTTCTTTCTATATAAATAATGTTTCATTACCTGTGTTGTCTGTTAGCCTAGGCGCACATTGAGACGCAGTGCAGGGCAGCGTAATTTTTTGTCTGGTTATTTCTAGTTACACTGCACGTCAGGACGCATCGCAGCAGAAAGCAGGTGCAGGTCTGTGTCGAGCTGCGTGGAGTAGTGGTTGAAACAGTTTTTGCTCAACACGCAGACGTGCCAGGTGTTTCAAGGTATAAAATTATCAATTTTTGATAAGGAGGACGAACTTATAGAAGCTGTTCGGTATCAAAGGGTACGCTGTGACACAGCCATCCTGACTACAAGAAAACCAAGCTGAAAGATGACATATGGGTTCACATAATTGCAACTCTCAAGTTAGAAGACGGTGAATGTACTATATTGCTAACTAAAGCAAACAAGTAAGTTCAATAATAAAACTAATATTGAACACGAGTTATATATTTCATTATTCTGTCCATGATTACCACGCAGCAAGAGAGACTGCGGGTCAATGTGCCCTGCGCTGTCCCACTCTGCGCTGTATAACTGTCTTGCGTCTCAATGTGTGGCTGGAAATTAGAATATGATGAAAAATTTGGACAAAGAACTCAAAAGGACAGTTTGATGAAAACAATACGAACAAGAAGTGGAAAAAGGACGGTAGTCGAAAATACGAACAAATATCGAAGTATTAAAAACAATATCAGGATATGATGATAAAATACGAAAACAAATCACTATGTCGGTAAATGTATCTTCAATAGTACAAAAAAACCAGGAGGAAGTAGTGTACCATTTGTAAAATATGTTATCAAAACGACGGTTGTCCCCATTGCATAATGGACGAATATAATGTATCAACCATGCAGTAAAAAAAATCAAACTTATGTACAGTATTTGTTTGTATTATTATACCCTCATTAAAGTTCCATATTTTGAATTTTGTGTGGTCGTCAAAGTATTAACCACACATTCACAAATTAAAAAGTGATCATCTTAAACTTTGTAAAAATGCAACACCCAAAGTCCCAAACCCGAATACTTAAAAATTAATGTTTATTTACATTGATATGCTGTAGCCCGGCGGTGTGTCATGCTTAGCCACCTGTACACCGATAATAACTCTAACTACCACTACAACATCTGATTATCATGATTGTCAACCATGGGCAATCCTGAAAAACCGACCAGTAGGTGCTGAGCCGCCATGAAGAGCAGTGAATGACGGACCTCGTACGCTCCCGACTCTCAGACATTTTTCACATAAAAGTGTACTTGTTCGACGGATGGTGTCTTCGCCATCCTTGACCAGGAGCTCATGGAGTATCGTCTTACCCAGGAGTCAACCTGAACAGTAAGGAGGTAAGTACTGTACAGAGTGTGGAGACGATTCTGAATCCTCCGGGTGCCAGTTTTGTTAAAATTGCGAAAGTTCCTGCGCGTAGTGATGAACGAAGAACGATTTCCTAAATATTCATGCTACTGTTCTTAATTAAAACACTGGCGTACATACAGTATACTCTCATTAATAATCAATATTCCTCAATATTGTATGAATTAAATCCATGCAAAAAGTAAATATGAGGTTTAAAGCAATTATTGTGAATAATGTGCATTGTATATCCGTACTTTTTTAAGAACATTCGGGCACTTTTTCGTTATACCCTGCATTTTTTTATTTTCTTAAGTTAGTATTTTCATCTAACCTAACCCAGATTACTAGGTTAGGTTATTTAAAATAATCTAACTTACGATCTTAATAAAAATGCGGTAATATAACGTTGAAGTACCAGTATTCGTCTTCGTGAATTTACATGAAATTTAATAAGCTAATAAACAAATTACGGCACCGAATTTTTTGAGTCTATACAGCGGCAGGCAGACTGATTCACATTTGTCTTGACGCCAAATTTGAACATAGCAGCAAATAGCCAGTGGCCTCCACATTGATAGGCGCAAAGGCGAAGTAGAAATTAAACCACCTATACCATTTTATATTATTGTAGAACGTAAAGGCTGGCAGAAATGTTGATATATGCAGTTTGTTGGATTCGACAAACAATGGTATTCTTTTTATTGCTTGAGTTACGATTGGGAAAGACATTTTTCATTGTTTTCGCTGCTTACGGCTAGCGAAGTTCTTTTTAATCCCTACGGGAGGCAAGGGTATTTGTTATAATTTTCGCTGTTTGCTGTTACCAAAAATATTTTTCTGTAATGTTCGCTGCTTACGACTGGCAAAGTATATTATTTATTTTTAAAGCTTTCATTGCTTATGGAACTTATGGCTGATAAAGGAATTCATTTTTGCAGTTTTCATTGCTTACTGTTTAGCAAATGCGTTATTTTTTTTTTTAAGTTTCACTGATTATCAGTAGCAAAGACGGGTTTCAGTAATTTTCCTTGTTTGTAAATGCTTGTCTCCCACTCCGAAATAAAAGGATTCTTTAGCTCGAACAACACTCCCTGCCACAAGTAGGGCATTTAAATGTCTATCAACAGTCTGTGACCGATGGCAAAGTCTACACACCTTTCAGTGTCATCAATAAAGAAGAGTAAAAAAAATAAGTTTGAGAACACTGCACAAATTACAGTGAAGGAGAACTTATCAATATCATACATATCTTGGGATGGAAGTGCATTGTTTTGGGTTAGATTAGATATGGTCTTAATTGTCAACGGGAAGGAACTCTAACGTGGTGTCCTTGTTCAAGCGTTCAAGGGCCTGTATTTATTCTTAAAACTGTAAAAAATCAAGAGCTTATATTCTAGTGATAAAAAGTTTTCTTATAATATTTTCTCAAAGTTGCTCCTTCTTAGGAGTCGGTGTTGTAAAACCTTTTAGGCGAAACTTGGCCTGGGTTTCGATATTCCAACGATTGTGATTTATTTTCATTATATTTGTATTCCCACATACACCCTCTGCAACAACATTTCATGAGAAATTTTTCAATAATAAGCACGGCCCTTCAAAAATTTGACCGCAAAACCAATAAAATTATCAATACAAATGGAATGTGAAAGGCAAAAGTTAATGCAGGAATGGGCAGCATTTTTAGTCTTGCATCAGAATTTTTTCAACTGATTTTTAATAATATGTAACGGGACACTGAGAGAACTTGCAATATGTATATGCGGAAGTGTCAGAAAGGGAAACGATGATAAAATTTATGTTGGCTGATAGCGATATAATGTGAACATTCTTGTAAATGACTCGACACTCAGTTAAATTCCTTGCTTCCAAGCGGACTTAAAGAGACCGAAACTAAGAGGGTTAAAGTTTGTAATTTTGGAGCTGTAATTTCACAGTTTTATCTTTTTTCTTTCTTTCTTTTTTTAGGATAGTATAATTACTAACCTTGTTACTCTTGAAAAACCTTCGTTATAGAAGCGTAGTTGCACCATTCACAGGGAGATACAGGGTACGCAGTCGCAGACGACAACTCCATAGGCAACAGAGAGTAGCTAAGTACTTTTTTCTCTCTTTATTTTCTTTGAAATAGGTGTAGATCTATACACAGTCTACACCCCCCCCACAACAACAACAACCATGAGTTTGGTATGTGATTACTGCAGGGAGACGTCGGATATGGAGGATGCAGGCCTAACTAATGCAACGTCTAGGAAGTTACTAACTGCCGTAAAGCTTGATGGCTGTTGCTGGTATTGCCCTGGCTGCATAGTCAAGGTGAATGAAGCGATTGCAATCCATAAGGGAACGAGTTCTCTAGGGACGAAAATAGATGAAGCAGGAGCCCTGCTGGTTGACAAACTGGAGCAAGTTGAGAAAGAGATCCTTGCTAAGACTGAGGAAGTAGCTAATAGAATGGAGGTGGTTGCTAAGAGGAGCTATGCGGACGTATTAGGAGGGCCACGGGTGGGGGGGGCGGAGAGTAATGCAGAATCAGTACAGGTTCTACAGCAGATTGGGACTCTGAAAAAGTGTGTCGAAGAAATGAAAATTAACGGACCTACTGTTAGGGGAGAGGAGGAACACCAGGAACGGCTCCAGCGCAGGAACAATGTAATAGTTTTTGGAGTCCCAGAGAGCCAGGCAGAGGGAACTGTGAGTAAGGAAACACACGACAAGGTGCTGTTTCAAAATATTTGCACAGAGGTTCTGAAGATTCCAGCAACCCCTCAGGATGTGAGGAGACTGGGACAAAAGCAGGGGGCTAAGCCTCGCCCCCTCAGGATCACATTAGGGAGTGAGGAGGAAAAATGGCAAGTTATCCGGCAGGCAAAAAACTTAGCAAGGAGCGAGGCATTTCGAGATGTATTTATTCACCCAGACCGCACGGTAATGCAGAGGGAACAGCACAAGAAGCTCCTGCTGGACTTGAAGCAGAGGAGGGAGGAGTCGAGAAGGAACGGGGACAGGTGCACATGGGTTATACTCAGGGGGAGGGTAGTGGAAACAAGTGTGCCGACACAGGGCCAGGGGGCAGCAGTGCACCCTCCACCCACTCAACCCCCCACCCGGGAGGCGGCACCAGCTCAGCCTACCGGACAGGAGGGAACGAGCGCCGTGTAAACAATGAAATTTTTAACCACACCCTGCAAAATACAGTGTACTTAGCAAATGCTGCAGCTTCTGAGAATGTGGGTGGAGCGGGTTTATTACTAAGAGCAGAGACGTTACCGAGAACAAATTCTGGCTTGAATGTCATGTACACTAATACCGACACGTTCCTGGATAAGAGGGAGGAGTTTGAAACACTACTAAGAGTACACCAACCAGATATTGTAGGAGTTGTAGAACTGTTGTACAAGAACAGGAGAATCGACCCAGAGGAATGTGAGTTCAGTATTGCTGGATATGACTCATTTACGAACCTAACTCAAGAATCCTGCAGGAGGGGTGTGGTTATCTACGCTAGGCAAGACCTTAGAGCCAGCCAGGCGAGGGTACAGGGAGAGGATGTCTTTGAAGAGTCCAAGTGGTGTAAAATTAAATTAAAGGGAGGGGACTTACTTATCGTCGGGTGTATCTACAGATCCCCGAACTGTGGCCCACTAAAT